AACACACACACACACACACACACACACAGAGACAATGAAATAGGCCTTCAATTTTATGTTAATAGCTGCTTCCTGTTGCAGAGCTTTTTCTCAAAAGTCAGCAGCTGTGTGTTGTGACAACTACAGCACATTGCAGTGTATTCCAGACTAAACTACTGCCGTTTTATTATTATTATTTTTTTTTCAAATTCAATAGTGCTGAGTCACTGAAAATGTCATCCAGAGTTTGAGCCATTTTTACAAACTGTCTTGCACATTGTGATTCTTTCACAGGGAGAGCCAGGAGTAGACGGGGCCAAAGGCGAAAAGGTGAGTCTGCCAGGCGTTGGCATGAAAGATGAAGAATCTGTTCACTGTTTGTGAATTGCTTGACACTTGGAGAAGTTCTGAAGCAAAATTAAGCTGCAAAGTCTTGCCATCTTTGTTCTCTTAGGGTGAACTATGTTCTGGCTGCCCTAGCATTGGAGAAATTCCAGTGGGCATTTTGAATCCAGCTCAAAAGGGAGAGAAAGGAGATCCAGGTGCTGGACAGAAAGGAGAGCAGGTGAATGTGATGGAGTGATTGCTCATTAACATCCAGCACACAGCCTTTAAAAACTTCCCACAAGTCCTGAAGTGCAGTAAATTACAATGCAAGCAGTTTTTGATATCCACTTCTGTGGTTGTGTATGAGTGTGTAGGGATGCATATATTGGCTTAAGCATAATCGCAGACAGCCCTGATCTGCGTAGCTCCTCACAGATATAAGCCTCAGCGCAGATATAAGCCTCAGGCACAAATGCTTTTTTAAAATTATTGTAACGTCAGATTAGGGAATTAATCAGCCAAGGCTTTAATTTCATGTCTGTTAAGCAAGAGAATATGCGCTGATATTCTCTGCTTTTCTTTTTCTTTTCTTTCTTTTTACTTGATTTGCATGTACAGGGAGAACCAGGTCCAAGTGGCTTTGCTGGACTAAAAGGGGAAAAGGTAAACCTAATAAATATTTATTCACTAGGATGCTAAATTTCTACATTTTCGAATGGTTTTAAGGTTGTTAAACAGCATTATAGATAGGTACACATGCACATGCAGTGACCCCGAAAAGTATTTGGACACTTAAATGTGTGGATGTCATTATTTTAGGTAATTAAACAAAGCATTTCACAAAAATAAGTTGGTTGTCAGATTTAGTGGAACATCGCTGTACTTAACGTGATGAACTAAATTACTACTGTACTCTCTAGGGCACCTGTGTGGAGAGAAACTGACTTCCTACATCCATTAAAAATGACCTTGGGCTAAAAGTTAGTTCTGAGAAAAGTTAAGAGGTTTTTTTGTTTTTTGTTTTTTTTGTCCAGCGCATTGATATTCATATGCTTAAATGTGGCTTATGTGTCCAAATACTTTTTTGTAGACACTGTGCATGTCTATAGTGTATGGTAATTATCAAAGGGAAATAATCTTTAGCACAGAACATGTTTTGCATTCTATTGCATTATAAAATAATGTAGTCATTTAAGAAACTACGAACAATTTTCTGAAGTTGCTTGTCTCACACTTGACACTCTGTTTGGTTATAGGGTAATGCAGGCAGCAAAGGAAATGAGGGGAAAACTGTAAGTAACCTTTTTTAATTTGTATATATTATTTTTGTTTTTAACTTGCATCTGTGATTTATGACTGACCTCAGCATTAGATTAATGTGCAGATGCTGATGTTTTTTAGGGCAAACCTGGTCCAAAAGGGTCAAGTGGAAATAAAGGAGAGAAGGTGATTAAGCTCAACTCAGACTTTGGTACTCTGCATTAATTTTAAAGTGTTTAGATTGCAGCCTCACAGCACCAGGAGACATAAATAAATTATATATATATATATATATATATATATATAGAAAATGCATTAAACTAACTGCATTTTTACTTGTGGTGTATATTTTTTACAGGGTGATTCTGGACAACCCGGTATAGCGACACCTGGTCCAAAAGGTGAAAAGGTAAGTGAATCTTTTTACACAATGATTTTCTCTCCTTCAATACAAGTGTATTGTGGATGTGTTTACGTGGGACAAAAACAACATGTGCCTTGTATTTAAGGGAGACTCATGTGGCGTGTGCCAAACCACTACCTCTGAGGTGGGAAGTGGCCTATCTACGATAAAGGTTACAGGGGAACGTGGCCATCCAGGACCTCCAGGTCCACCAGGAGAAGGAGTTGAAGGCAAACAGGTAAGCCTGACTATTTTATGATCGCTTTATATTGGAGGAGGCAAGGGTGGTGTGTTGCTTCTAGTGTATCAGCGAATACATTTTTAATTTGAGAAGCCCAAAACACACTGACCCTGTTTTCCAAATGGATGTTTCAACAGGGGCCACCAGGTCTACAAGGTTTCGAAGGAGAGAAAGTAAGTTAATTATATTTTAAAGCTGTGCATATAAATAATATGTTCACAGTATAGGGGATTTTTCTAAGCATTAAATATAATTTTTATGTGCGTAGGGTGATCAGGGTTTACAGGGAGACCCAGGTGTGGATGGGGCAGCTGGACCCACAGGACCTCAAGGAGAACCAGGCAGGAATGGCCTTAATGGAATAAAAGGAGAAAAGGTCATTGTCACATAACATTGATCATGCAGTCACATATTAATTGCATTGCAGTAAATTATGCGCCATCACTGGATATTTTAATTATCATTCATCATGTTGATATAATAGATTACACCATTTATATGACTGTGTATAAATCTGAAGGCAAAAAAATACCAGATTAAGCATGGTTGACCATCTGGAATTCTCCTCACTTGCAATTTAAAAGCTTTCTGTCTTTTCTTATTGCATCTGTGTCTGCATCGCCAGGGAGACGCGTGTGGCAGCTGTCCATCACTCCCTGAAGGAAATGGCAATGTTGCTGGCTTACCAGGGCCCAAGGGAGAGAGAGGAGAGCCAGGTTTGCCAGGGGATGGCAGAGCAGGCAAACAGGTGCAAGTTTTTCTGTACAAATGCATGCTTTTGCAATTAATTAGTGGGGTTTTGTATGACTATTGCACATACATAGGGTTAGACATCTAAAATAAAAAGCCTAACTTAGGAGCACACAATTTGTGCTACATACATGACTGATACTTTAAGTCATGCAGCTTGTTGAGGAGGGGTCCACATTTCTAAGCAACTGAACTTGCGATTTTGGCCTAGCAGATGATAAAAATAGGGCTTTTAACTTCTGTGATTTAATATTGATAGTACCTAGTTAAGATGCCATTAAACAAATATGTGTGATTAACAGTGTTGGGAAGGTTACTTTGGAAATGTAATAGGTTACAGATTACAAGTTACCCTACTTAAAATGTAATAAGTAGTGTAACTTTTCAGTTACTTTATCCCCAACACTGGTGATTAATAGGGTTATAATGATACATTGATACAGATCAATGCATCGATCAAATGACTAACAATATGGAAGTTCAATTAAATATTCTTGTTATATTTTGGTTCCATTTGTGAGTTTTTAAAATGTAACTGGTTAAAATAGGCACATAATAAAATATCAATATATAAATTTAATCAAATCATAATTGTATTGCGGCAGGTTTTGAGGTGTCAGCAAGTATTGTAAGAGAATCAATGTTATATTGTATCGTGATAAAATAGCTGATTTATACCCTTAGTGATTAATTCGTTTTTGTTTGTTTTTTTATTGTTCAGCAGCCCTAAAAAAATGGCATGTCTGGACTCTTTCTTTATTATCTTTATTCTATAGGGTCGGCCAGGCCCACCTGGTGTCCAGGGACCTCCAGGGCTCAAAGGCAGTCAGGTAAAGTTACACACCTGACTAATGTGCATACATCAGTCACATCTGTGTGTGAGAGTTATAAGATTGACTGTGGAGTGATGCTCATGTTTATTTATTATTAGGGTGATGCTGGGCTTCCAGGTATTGACCTTCCAGGACTGCAGGTGAATGAACAGTTATTGTAATCACTCAGAAAAACTGTTTTCATTTATACCATTTTTAGAGAAATGTGCAGGTCTCAGTTGCATTTAAATAGTTCCTTTAATGCACCAGCTCTTTGTAATGTTTTGATGTTCTCACTCAGGGTGAGCAGGGACCTAGAGGTTTTCCCGGAGCTGCTGTAAGTGCACAAAAAGTATTGTGTTCTTGGATGTTCACACATGGATTTGGGCCTTTGAGTGTGCAAATTTGCAGATGTTGTTCTCTTTGAATTTTCTATTTTTACATGTTATCTGATACATACACTACTGTTCACAAGTTGAAATCGGTACAATTGTTTTAATGTTTTTGAAGTTTCTTATGCTCACCAAGGCTGCATTTGATTAATTAAAAATACAGTAAAAACAGTAAAGTTGTGTAATATTATTAGAATTTAAAATAACTGTTTTATATTTGAATATATTTTTCAAATGTAATTTTTTCCAATTATGGCAAAGCTGAATGTTCAGCATCATTACTCCAGTCTTCAGTGTCACACGATCCTTCAGAAATCATTCTAATATGCTAATTTGCTGCTCAAGAAACATTTATTATTATTATCAATGTTGAAAACAGTTGTGCTGCCTAATCTTTTTGTGGAAACGATGATACATTTTTCAGGCTTTTTTAATGAATAGAAAGTTCAAAAGAACAGTATTTATTTGTAATAGAAATCTTAATACATTATAAATGTCTTTACTGTTACTTTTCATCAATTTATTGCATCCTTGCTGAATAAAAGTATAATTTTCTTTAAAAAAACAAACAAAAGACATTTTTTAGTAGCCCTGAAACTTTTGAACAGTAGTGTATGAGTCACAATAATAAATAAAACAGCCCTTTTAATAAGCACCACATGTGGAAACCAAGTGTAAAAACAATCATGTGTGTCCTACAGGGTCCAGAAGGACGTCTGGGACCTGCAGGGCCGATTGGACCAGCAGGACAAAGGGTAGATCACCAACGCAATGACACAGTACTCTTCAGGCCAAAAGACACTCTGGATCTGACCTCACTGCTGTCCTAATGTATTGCTTGATATCAATAGGGTCCAAAGGGAGAAATGGGACCACCAGGGTCACAGGGGCCAATGGGAATGGGACCAATCGGACCCCCGGTAAGAACTTGAGATACAGTAAAACATGCACCAAAAGATTTTCCCCAGCAAATGATGCAGCCATTTTTTTATGTTCAGGCTTTCGTCATTATATTTAATATCTGAATGCCATTATGGATGTGATTATCTGTTTTGCATAATACAGTGGGTATAGCAAAGAATCACCCCCCTTTAAAATAATCACATTTTGTTGCTTTGCAGCCTGAAATGAAGACAGAAACATTTTTTTGTTTTATCCAGCTGTATTTACTCAGGGCATCTTATAACATCCAAGTGAAATAATGCAAGATAAGCACATATTTCATATTAAGTATGCTGTTTCACATCATAGGAAATAGGGAGTGGGATGAGATACAGCAAGTGTTATTTTTTTTGTCTTGCAATTTTAAATGATTTATATAATCTGTGTCACAGGGTAGGGATGGAACACAAGGATTTCCTGGAATACCAGGGCAGGATGGGAGTCCTGTAAGTTTGTTTGTTTGTTTAATCCTCTCCAGCAATTCTTTGCTTAACTCCTCTTGCTTATTCCCATATTGTGACACACGCTCTGTGATTAACACATTCACCCAAGCATATTGTCCATTGTTCATTGCTCTGCCATCTAGAGACGGCATCAAACGAACTTCCATAAACTGCAGAGACAAAGGCAGTGAGAGTTTGTTGTCTTGCCAGAGCTTGTCTCATTAAAAAAAGCAAAGTTAGCGTTGTCTGTTCTCACATCAGATGTTAATTACCTGGGGCTTTGTCGCAGAGAGCTTAAGGAGCGAATCCAGAGACAGACTCGGGTCATATTCGACTCTGCCTGGATCCCTAACAGCAACACATTGTCTGCTTGCATCACATGCAGGCCACTGCTCCTCCCCGATCCACACTCATCTAGCTGGCCCTGGAGAGTTACACACAATAACACTGTTTAACTGAGCCTTTGTGTGTGTGTGTGTGTGTGTGTGTGTGTGTGTTTCTCCTTGTCTTTCAGGGAGCCACTGGGCCTAAGGGTGACAAGGTAAGTGTCTGGATCAGTGAGCTGGAGAGGCGATTTCCAGGTTCCCCGAAACAGTGAGAGAGAGTGTGTGTGTGTGTGTGTGTGCGTGTGTGAGGGAACGATGGATAGGAGGAGTAATGTTTAGAGCGACCGTCTGTATGTACAGTGATGTGTCCACCCTGGAGACACAAACAGACGCATAAATCTGACAGAAGAGTTTGACAGTGCTGAAAAAGCAAAAAATGCCCTCGAGCTAAAACAGGGCTATTAATAGGTGAATATTACAGCTGTCATCTGTAATCTGACAATATCACGGCGTATCAAAGAGAAAGGAAGCTTCATTCTTTAATGTCCTCTGTAGTCTCCCAGACTAATTTGTCTAAACACAGAGGAAAGTGTCAGCTGATATCAAATGATGCATATTCCACTTAAGTGTGATGAAGTGCTCTGTGATTCCTGTTGAGTGCCAGGATAGAATTCTACAGCAAATCTTTTTGTAATGTCATGTTGCAACACAATGTAACATGCTTGTGTGTGCGGGGTGTGTGTGTGTGCGTGTGCATGTTGGGACCATGGTTATTATAGTTAACTGAAACTAAAATAAAACCATAAAAAAATAAACAATCTAAAATAAAATAAACGTTAACTGAAATAAAATATCGAAAAAAATATTTTAGCTAGTTGCCAAGGCAACATTTCTTATTTTAATTTACATTAACTTGATGTACTAAAATAACTAAACCTAAAACTGAAATAAAAATGAATAAAAATTATATAGACATACAGTATATGAAAAAAAAAATATTAAACTAAAATAAAAAAATAAAAACTTATTCAAAATATTAGTAAAAACTATGATACTACTTGGGAATGTAATAAGGGAATTATCACTATTATTATTCCAAATACTAATTGGTTTGACCTTTTTAACTTTATTTACACTTCTCAGCTGTCAAATGTCATTATATAAAAACATTATTATTATTATTATTATTATAGTTTAAATGAGCTCAAATTCATTTTAATATTGTTATTGCTATTATTAATAAATCAGTATGCATTCATTTATTATTAATAATAATAATAATACAATGGGTATATTTTTTGTTGTTGTAGTCTAAATTATAATTTAGTTATTGTCAAATAGCAATAATACAACAATAAAAATAAATATTGGTTATTAGAAACAGACATATTCTGTATCATATTCATAAATGTTCAATATGTTAGCTTTGCTGAGTTGTGATGCTCTCTTTTAGGTTAGGTTGAATATATTTAATTTAAATATATAATTTGTTCCAATAAACAAACACCTAGCAACATAAAAATAATTCAGAATACCTTAGCAACCACATAGCATCACCCTGGAAACAATCTAGACTAGTTGTGGCAGTTTACTCAGAAAATGTACAACTCACTGTAACCAATTTTTGTTGTTGTTGTGTCGTAGGGTGAACCAGCAGAGTGCAACTGTTTGAATTATATGTTCCCTGGAGCCGGTGGACCTGTGAGCTAATGCTTTATTTTATTGTTGTTAATCAGGAAGACATTAACACACTCTCACGCATACACACTCTAAGAATGTGGGCTATTAAACAAAACCTTTTAAATCACTCACGTCTCATCATGAGACCTGATGTCATTCACAGTGCTGAAGTCAATTACTCTTTTCTTGCAGGGGGTCCCGGGTGGTGAGAGCAGGTGGCAGCCTGGTCCTCAGGTCTGACATCCTTTTTCACTCTGTATCGCTCTTCTGCTGCTTAAATCTCTGCATTTTGAGAAGTTTGACAAGAAAAAATCCTAGCAATTACAGTAGAATTACAACATTCATTCATTCATTCATTCATGAATAGCAATTACGATAGGGTTTCAGTGCTACACTCTACTAATGGACTTATGGAGACACAAAAATGAATCTGAGAGTGATTGTGACTCTTTTAATGAGTAATAAATGACCATCATTTTACTTCTACTCATTCCAATGTGCTTAATGTGTCTTAGGGGCCTCCTGGACCACCAGGACCTCCAGGTCCCACAGGGCCCCAAGGCTTTACAGGAATCACAGGCCCACAGGTGAGTATAAAACAAATGGCATCAGGGTGTACCTCTGCTTTTTCTGTCTGTTCCTCCATCCTGCTCTCTTTGTGGGGCTTCTGTATTGGTAAGGCCTGCATGGGTAACTCTGGACTTCCACTAAAGCATATTTAAATGCACCAGTAATGTTTTCTGTAAAAGTTTACACATAAAAGCAATTGTTAATTTAGCAAATAATGATTACTACTGCCATTAATTAAATGTAATGTAATGTAATGTAAATGTAATGTCATGCAATTATAATGTAGTTTGTAAAAGAGCGCTGTATTAAAACATTGCTGTTTAAATTGCACGCTTTAAAGGGGCTTCTGGGAATTTTGGATAGTGCCGTGGGATGTGCTTTTTTAATGGCTGTGCTTTTAAAAGTTAATGTAAAGTAAATGTAAATATTAATGTAGATTGTAATCTAAAGCATTAATGTATGGATAAAATATTGCGGGAAAAATGAATGAAATGTAATCTAATGAATACATTACTTAAATAAGTGGTTGGGGATCATGCTGCTTTTTCTTTTTAAAAACCATGCAGAAGCTCACTGTGAGGTTGCTGTATTTAATTTAAGTCCATTATCATCTTTATCAGTTATGTCTTAAATATACAATGGGAATTATAATGGTATGAAAGCCCATCATCATTTAAATCACCCTGATAAACTGGCAAATTTACTTCTCTATGACCTCACCGTGAACACTGAGTGGTCTTTAACCTGGTGTTGTGTTGATTTCCCAAGTCTCAGAAGAACTGAAATTAAAAAATAGACAGAGAAAGGCAAGAAAAAATGTAAATGTCTACTCCGAGCTGGAACACAAACCAGGAGAGGGTCCAGGGCTTTGGCTACTTTCCCTCTGCCCCGATAGAGAAGGAGGTGTCCAGATTGTAGCCACAAGCTAAACCAATTCAACCTCAGTTCCTTCTTACAGGGTCTCCCTGGCAACGATGGCGTACCAGGGGAACCGGGTCCACCCAGCCAAGCAGTGAGTAACCAGACAGGGGGAGGAGCTTTATTACAGTATATAAACACAGAGCAAGGAGCCTGGTTGGTCGACTTCTGCGTTAGAGGGGGAGCGGGTTGGGCCTTCTTTAAACCGGTGCAGGGAGACAGAGCTCACTAGAGGTTATTCACGAAGACAACAGCAGCTTTTTTATAATACGAAAAGGAACCAGTAAGCATTTGTAAAGATCTTAACTCGGCACTCCATGAGGCGTTTCTGCTGCAGTATGTCCTTTATGACCACCGAAGGTCCCATTACCCTTCCAGAGTTAACTCACAGTCTCCGAGGCTTTGTGTAATGATAAACACTGCCATTGTGTTGAGTTACGGTTATGGCAGCCATTACTGTGAGTGATGTTCCATACAGAAAAAGCCATTAGATCTTTGGTTGAAAGCAGGATTTCGGCATTAATGGCCCTGTCTCTCCGCACACATATTTTCCTAGCTGGCCGGAGGCCCATCCTGAAATCAGAGCTCCGGGCTTCCAGCCTGCAGCGGATATTTGGCCAGACTTCTGTCCCGGCCCGCTTTGCTCCACTTCTATCGGCAGACTCAGACCACCGAGTTCTTCCAGAGCACAATCAGATTTAAACCATGTTATTCATTTAACTCTCGTTCGCCAACCTTTGAGAAACAGACCCCGCAAACAACTTAATCCCAAAGCGAGTTCATTAATATACAAATTAATTCTGTTCTATAGAGCCAAAAACACTAAATAGTTCAATTAAATAAGAGTAACTAATAATATTAGGAATTCAAATGGTTCTTTTAAAAAAAACTAGGTGACCAATTACCATATTAAAACCATAATTACAGTAGATTAACTGGATGGCATAAGATGTCATTATATGAGTGGTCCTGCAATGAGCCACTTTACTGAGCTGTGGAGAGCCCAAACCAGCCAGTGGTGAGAGGAGATCTACATGCTGGATGCTCATAGCACCTTCAAGAGCATCTAAGAGCCACTCTCATATTCGGTCAAGTTATCTGGTTTAACTGTAGTTAGAGGAATATTTCAGTCATCTATACAAAAAAGGGCCATGTGGGCCAAGTGCATATAATATATTGGTATGAGGTGAAGTGGAATTTGAGTTGATTTTTTTTTTAAACGCTTCAAAATACTCTGGGGATTCATTACATATAGTATTCCATATACGTTTGAAGTACATTGTGGGTGTTGCACAATGAAGTTTTGTTTTTTGTGTTTCTGAAAGTCTTTTGTGCTCTGAAACTAATGCTTTGTAAAGAAGGATGTGAAACTTCTTATCCATGCTGTAAATGGCCAATATAGTAGCACATTTTTCTTTTTTACCATAATTAATTATATTTTCATTTACATGTTTATGGATGCAATTAGTCAGTAAACTGTTTTGAAATGACAGCATAATAAATAATTGTAGCATAATGTGAAATAATTTATCACGTTAAATTCAGCTCCAATTTTCTTCTGAATAATTTCATGCAAAATAGTTCCATTATTAAAATGAGATTTTTGTTATTATTAATAATGAGTTCATAACTTTACTTCCTGAGCAATGCTTTTAAAAAATAACCTTTTAGTGCACTGCATTGCCTTGGTCTCACCATAGTCACTTTCTTCTGAACTTCAGATGATTATTGCACATTAATTTGTTGTGAAATGTAAAAGTGTTTTTGATGCAGTCATCATGGCTGACTGTCTCCTCCATCTTGCAGCCTCCTGTTTTGATGCCTCAGGATTCAGCTTCCACAGGCAAGGTAAGCGAACAGTCTAGCCCACATGCTAACTTATCTGTATTAACTGCACGTGTTCAACTTATCTCTCTCTCTATGACATTATTAGTATGCATGTGCAAGGAAACACTGGTATTATCTGGTAATATAATGTGTACAGAAACATACACATTAGCATAGTTGGTGTGGTGTGAATAGATGTTATTTTTTCATTCTGCCCCCAAAGTAGTACACATACAACAGCAAGACATCTATGCAATGCATGAATTTTCATTTGGATGATGGAATTTTTAGTGCAGGGGGCTTCAACCTTTTTGAGACCCAGGACCCCATGGTGGATAGAGAGATGAAGCAGGGTACCCCTGTTACATATTGCATAAAATCGAGTGCTGCATTTTAAGCCTGGCATATCTCATACATATACAACCATCTTAATGTATACATAGTTTATGATTCTTACATAGCGAAGCTATTAAAAATGTATTTATTTATTTAAACTATCATTCAAATGTTTGGGATTGATAAGATTTTTTTAGTCTCCTATGATGATCAAGGTTGTATTTATTTTTATCAAATATATTTATATATACTGTATATACATATATTTGATATGTATGCATTTATTTGATCAAATAAATGCAACCTTGTTCAGCCCCTCCTCACACGCGTGAGTGTGTTTCCCATGAGGTGTTCCGGACATGCTGGCAGTCAGGCTCTGATATCACTTTCTCCTGACCGGAATTTTCGGCATTCCCTGTTGAGACTTTTCCATCTTTTTCCCACAGTGAACACACACACGTCTTAATATCCTGTGTTTGAATTTCATGAATCTTTCTCAGTCTGTCTGTACCTTCTTACTCTTCAGTGCAGCACTACTATTCACTTGTATTTGCATGCAGGTGCTGTGTTTTTATTGTTCATGTGTTCTTGCAGTGAGTACACGTGTGTTTATGTCATGTGTATGCATCACTGTAGGAGGGCTGTGGCGAATGCTCCAAGGGTCTATCAGGTGTGCCTGGCATGGTTGGCGCTAAGGGCGAGAAGGGAGATCAAGGCAAGCCTGGCGTTGAACACTTAGATGGATGTGAACGGGTGAGAGGGATGAATGATGGATGATGTGATTGGTATTAAACAGACAAGGGTGTGGGTAACATTGATTTGTTTGTTTGCTGTTGTTTTAAGCTGTCTGTTTGGCATGCCATTGATTTCTACAGTAGTTTTGCTCATGCTCATGAACATACAGTACTAAACCTATCTCTATGATCACCTTTACAGTGTATAGAGAAGCTGCAGAGAGAAGAAACACCAAGAGGGCCTGTAAGTCTGTGGACCGATTGATTAATGCTCTTTTTACACTCACATAAATCAATGATAGGGAAGCTTCCCAAGCTACAAGCTACTCATAATGTTAATCTCAATTTAATGAAATCTCAATTATGATGACAGGATTAAAAATACAAATAAGTTTAATGAATTTAACTAAATATATTACATAAAAAAGATACAGGGCATTATACAAAGGTTCTTAGTGAATCAGTGAATCGTTTTAAAATGGTCCATTTACACGAATGTTCAAACAAACCAATTCACTAAAATTAATTGGAATACTACATAGTTGAGTAAATCACACTCTTCTTCTACTCATTGGGAAAAGGTAGCTTGTTACTGGAAAAGCTATACTATTATGAAAGCAGCTGAGCTACTGTCACATTACTGAAAATTGTAATCCACTGTTCCATTGTTCTGACACAAAGCTGTTCCTTTGCATCACTTAAAGTCATTATTTGTTTCTCTTCAAATTGTGCACGCATTTCTTGATTGTAACCCCTCATGTCTGCTCAATGTTTTTAGACGAGTAACAGTGGTCAGTGCGTTGGTGCACCAGGGATGCCCGGATTCCCAGGGACCGCAGGGGTCAAAGGAGAGCCGGTGAGAGATCCTGCCGAGTTTCATTACTATCAGTGCCTATTAGAGAGGATACAAGAGCTGTGCTTTATCCTAACTGTTGCGAATCTAACAACACAATATTTTAATATTAAAAGCAAATATATATAAATATATATAGCACACTCCAATTCTATTATTCTGTCCCCAATTCTCTCCCAGATTTGTGTTATCAGAGGCTTAGGAATAATATGAAACGGTGGGGGACATATTTATAATCCTTATCATCTTGGCTCATGAATATTAATTAGGTGTTGTAATGTTTGCCCAGTTGTCCTAACTGATTTGCTGAAAGACAAGTAGGTGGGCGCTAGGCATAGTAGGATTACTTCATACCACCTGCACGTTCATTCAGTCCACTGTTGATGCAACCAGTTGGCAGAGACTTCTGCTTGGTCCTAGTCATCGTAGTCAGCTGCTATTTATTTCAAAACAGAATCAAAACAAACGTTTTGATTCAACATAGAACTTACTCCACGTAAGGCTATAATGCGGCCATAAAATTGTTTTTCTGCATCTTCAGACTCTTCAGAGGTTGTGTGAATGCATTTACACCACAGTTAGAAATGCATAAATAATACTTTTAGATGAATGGGTTTTAAATGGGCATTAATGGGTTTAAAAATGAATATTGAAGTAGCTGATTTGTTCAGAAACTAAGCAAATTACTGTCTTTATGAATGGGTCACTGAATCTTTGGTTCACTCGTTCTAAACCATGGATTCATTCAGTAATGAAACAGCTGTGTTTTTTTGCTCAGAAAGGCACAACTGTTCTGTTGCGGTTTTGTTTTAAATTATTTAGGAGCAAAAGCAAACAATATTGCATGTAAAATGTAATGCAATATTAACTTACTGTTCATTGAAATGCTGTAAATATGTTTTTAATCATAGGTATTCACACCAAATTAACATGTTATATATGAATATATAATTATATACATATATAATGTAAAATAATGATTATGGTTGCTTCGCCTGACACTGTATGCTATAAAACATTATCCTGGTCTGTCTTCACTGTAGGGTCCCAGAGGTGAGCGAGGACCTCCTGGTCTTCCTGGAACTCCAGTAAGTTTCTACTTTGCCAGTTATGCTCCAGATTGTCTCCTAAAAGGTCATTTCTGGCAGGATTGCCTTTTTAGCCCTCTTTTCTTAGAAACTGAGACAGAGTGACCCCAGATGGCTTTCAGAGTGCAGTCCATATCCTATAGAGACAAACCAATGTTGAGCACTTCTTACAGAATTTAGTCATTTAATCCCACAAATGCCGTGTGTGTTTGCACAATCTATTTTCTTTTAGGTTCAGTGTTTTCAGTTACAATAAACCAAGAAGGGAGAACAGTCAATTACTTCTTTGTTGTGAGGTTAGAGTGGCCCCTACAGGTTTGGCCCAGAATTGCAGAATGCTTTCCAAAATAGTCCCAAATCTGCGCCTAACCTAATTTCAACATGTAATTGAGAGTTAAGACTTTGTGTCCACTTAAACTTTGTGTCCACTTAATTTCTTATTTTTTTTTGGGAAAGAAATCAATGCTTTTTTATTTAATTTTCTTTTCACTTTTGATTTCATTTCAAAGGTAACTATAAAGATTTTTACACTCTTACATTGTTAAAAGAATCCCAAAAAAAGTGTTTGTTTGTTTGTGCTTGCATGTGTGTGTGTCTTGTGTTCCCACAGCATGAATTAATCATAAATATATTTATATATAAATATATATGAAGTTAAAATAAATATATGTACTTATTGTATATATATATATATATATATATATATAAAAAACAGTGATTTAACTAGAAAAAACTTCTATTTCCGTTTAATGTGCAGAGACAACTGTAAGTGAGCTATTATTAAGTTCCTGAAGAGTCTAAACACTGACAAATTCACAACTTTGTTTGTTGGAGTGGTCCGACTGTTACGGGGCGAACGAGACGTTCGGAGACGTATCTATCTGCAAAGCTTTTATTTAAAGGCGTGGTCATAAAAACAGGCAAGGTTCTGACAATGGCAAACAGGTATATTGAGGGCAAGACAAAAGAGTAATCCAAACCAGGCGTGAGTCAGTCGACAGCAAACGTTATCCAGAGGGCTTGACAAGAGGGAAAATCCAATAACAAAAGCAGTAGTCCAGGCGAGGTGCAAACAGCCCGAAACAGCAGGCAAAGGATTAATGACTAGGAACTAAGGACTAGAAACTAGGGCAGGAAACCGGCTCCGTAATGTGCTACCACTAGGAGAGCGATAAACGCAAACAATACTCGGCCTTGAATGGTGGTGTGAGACTGATTTATATAGTGTGTGTTATTGGTAGCAGCTGTGTGTGATTGGTTTCAGATGAGCTTGTGATTAGTGCAATGGAGTATGGGAAATGTAGTCCAGGGTGATGTGTAACAGTCTGTGTGGTGTGAGAGTCAATATCATGGGAGGGCGACCTCTGGTGGCAAGTGGATGGAAGTTCATGGACCGGATTCGTGACGCCGACATGTCAAAGTCTCACTCAACCAGTGATGTGAGTTTAGAATGGACTGCTTTCATTAATCATTCTTAAATTAAATTAAAGTTAAACCAGTGAGATCAAATCCACCTGCTAGGCATGGCAATACACTTAATGATTTAACACGCATGAAGCAGGTCTGAGACTTTCAAACCTGCTGCCGGCAACTCTTAAATTCATTATCATTATTTATGCAGTTTTATTTTTCTCGGGGAAAGTCTTTATGATGTTGAAATCCGTTTGTCCTTGACCTTGCTGAATAAAAAATCCTGACAAAACATTTTGTTTTCTTCGCACAGGGCACTAATTTATTTATAGTTTTTCTCAGTCGATTTTAAATAAGGCCAATGCATTTAGAAAAAATAAAATATTATTAGTATGAGAATAGTCTGTCTGGGAATATTATTTCGTTACCGTTTCGATCTCTATGTTAACTGCTTAAAGAACATTGACCTTCATTTAGTGAAATGTATCAAATCGATTAAGTACAAACTGTAAACCTTTAAGTGATGTATCTATGCAGGAGCCATTTACTGAAGGATTATCTGATATGAGATTCAGCTCAGGTCCATGCCTTTTTCATTATGCATGCAATAGCTAATAGACATGTTTTGTCCCGTGACTATAAAGGTAAAAACAATAACTCTGCATCATTTGTCTGTTCCTGGAATACAGATGGCAGGAAAGAAGGATTCATTAATTCATTCCCCTTACTTTCGTCCCTGTCTTAGAAAATAAATGCCAAGCATTTGGCAGGTGTATTAGCTGTTTTGTTTTGCTGTTAAGATCACAATTATCTGAAATGCAAGGCTGTAAAAACAAGTATTCTCCAGCAAGATATTGTAATACTAATATAATATAGTATTTGTTATGTATATGACGAATAGACATAAAATGCTTATATTTGCATCTTTTGCTGGCTCTGTTGCTAATGCCTCTTTCATTTTTTTTAATCATAGGGTCAACAAGGTCAGAGAGGGACAGACGGACTTCCAGGACAGAAAGGTGAACAGGTAAGTAACTCAAGAATATACAGTATACTAATGGACAGTGTGCTGTATTATTGAGTTACTTTTGTTATTTTCACAAAGGGTCCACCAGGAAATCCTGGCTATCCTGGAACCATGGGACCGCCTGGACTCCCTGTAAGTGGTTTCAACAATTGACCATTGACAATTGACCCGATGCAGAGACATCATATATTAATGTTTTGACATGTTGTATAACTCCTAATTGTTTGATTGGTGGGTTAAAGTCATAATGCTTTTTTCCCAGGGCCTTAAAGGAGAGCGTGGCAGTCCAGGAACTGCAGGGCAGAAAGGAGATTCTGTAAGAACGCACTCTTTAAACAATGTTAAACTTCAAGTGTCCAGTTTACTCATTGACTTTCAATGGGATCTATTTTTATGTCAGTAATTGATTTGATCAGAAATACAGTAAAACAGCAATTATGTGAAATAATATAATATAATTTTTTTCTGTGATGGCAAAGCTGATTTTTCAAAAGAACAGCATTTATTTAAAATAGAGGTCTTTTGTAACACAGTAACTGTGTCATTTTGATCAATTTAATGTATCCTTGCTGAATATAAGTATTCTTTAAAAAAAATCTTACGAACCATTTTGAATGCATAAACAGAAATACAGTAAAACAGCAATTATGTGAAATAATATAAAATATATTAAAATAGAAAACATTTATTTTAAAATGTTTTTTTTTTTCTGTGATGGCAAAGCTGATTTTTCAAAAGAACAGCATTTATTTAAAATAGAGGTCTTTTGTAACACAGTAACTGTGTCATTTTGATCAATTTAATGTATCCTTGCTGAATATAAGTATTCTTTAAAAAAAATCTTACGAACCATTTTGAATGCATAAATACATACTTTTCAGAGCACCTCAACTTATTGTTTTGACTGTCCTTTGGGGGTTCAAGCCACGCAGGAGCATTCACAAAGGAAATCTTATAATGACTTGGTAAAGTGTTTGAAACTTTGCACTGTTTTTAAATAGGGTCCACCAGGATCTCCAGGTTATCAAGGACCAGTCGGCCCAGCAGTGAGTAAACATCTGGTTTTAATGCCTTTATTTTTTCTGCTTCACATATATAGACTCTTACCTGAAGTCATGACCCTCAACAGCACTGCAATTCACTGCTTTGTCTTTTTTATCATTGGGATTTTCAAAACAAACCTTATGTCTATCTTGGATGGCTGATAATCATGCACGATATATAGAAGCTAGTTTACCTTTTGTATTCTCTTTGTGAGTAATAACTCTCAGATCAAACAAAAAAGCTTCAAACATTTTGTAGATTGATTGTGGAAAAACTTAGGAGAATGCTGATTTTTGTTCTTTTCTTTTAGTCTTTCTCACACAGATTCAACATTGTTCTCAAAAACTGACAATTTGTGATGTTAAAAAACATATTTCCCTGACTGGCAGGGTCCTAAAGGGGAAGCTGGAACAGCGGGACCTGTGGGACCAAAGGGAGATCAGGTAGAAAAGCATGTTGCTGATATATTGCCAACAAAATGCTTCCCTTTAAAATATCTTTCTATATGTGTCATATCCCTTGATATCACATTATCATGATACCTTATTCTTTGATATTACACTATGTAGAGCAAGATGTTCTGTTTGCATTTTCAAATTTACAAGCCCAAGATCTGAGAATATACCTGTTTTTCCTGGAAAATAAATATTTAAAAATGTTGTGTATTTACTCAATAAATTCTGTGGTGTATTATCCTCATGTTGTTGCTGTGATCACAATTTACAGTGCGCATAATAACAGTTCTTGCATCTTTTGTTTACAGGGCTTCCAAGGATCCCCAGGATTCCCAGGACAACAGGTGAGAATTCAGTCATGATTCATTGTTCAGTCATCATTTCCCTACCGTTTCACTCAAAAATGTCACATTATAGAAGTGAAATGGATTCCACACTGTAAACAATTTGGACTTTAATTCTGAAATAAGCCTCATCTCTTTTCTCTTCATGTCTCCAGGGTCCTCCAGGTTTCTCGGGAAAAGCAGGTCCTCCGGGCCCTCCAGGACCACAAGCTGAGAAGGCAAGTGACAGTACTATAATGCCTGAACATGCATTGATAAATGAAATTATACAACATATTGACATCTGGAAATAAATCATTACAGTATATGAGCAATGACATTTGATAAATGACTCATCATTTGCATTCATAGGCATTATCGCTTATGGTCACTTTCACAAACAAGTGATCTGACATACTCTTTAGTCATTAAATGGCTTGAATGTGGAGTGTAGATGCTTCTCTATCAAGCACTCACCCTTACTTGATTTACTCCCTAAGGGTAGTGCTGGAGTTCAGGGCCCACAGGGACCCACAGGTCCCCCAGGATCACCCGGGGCCCCAGGCATGCCTGTGAGTCTCAGAATCCTCTGGATAGACACCTTTTAAAGCTGACGTTCAGCCTGTGTTGTCACTGTACACAATTAAAACTTTCACAAAGTAATTATATTGTTTTGCATTTTGTTTTTGTTTAAAGGGACCACCTGGAATGGAGGGACTTGATGGCAAAGATGGAAAACCAGGTTTAAGGGTCAGAAAAGAAAAAAAATATTATAACCACATATATGATTATATATATATATATATATATATATATATATATTT